TCTTAATCCACAGTTTTTCATACGCGGGTTTTTACTGTATTCAATATTTTGACCTGTAAAACATTTGCTACTGAGACAAGGCTGAAGAAACTGAATTATTTGTAAATGCTTTTAGGGATAGTTGCCTTAATGCATGGTAGAAAATCTAAACATTCTTAGAAACAGCTTCGCGGACAATCAATTTAAATATTTGAGATTTTGGGAGACCCGGTGGCCTAATGGTTAGCGTGCTGGACTCCTGATCGAGCGGTCCGGGTTCGAGCGCTGGCCTGGGTCATTGTGTTGTGTTCTTGGGCAAGACACTTTACTCTCACAGTGCCTCTCTCCACCCAGGAGTATAAATCGGTACCGGCGACAAAATGCTGGGGGGTAACCTGCGATGGACTTGTCTAGCATCCCATCCAGCGGGAGTAGCAATATAGCCTGCGTAGTGTAGCAATACTCCTAGTCGCGATCGGTTTCATGCTCCTCAGCTGCGGGAAAATAAGTTCTCACTGATTTCCGTCGTCTTCGAAATTGAGTATTTTTATACAGTGAAACCTCTATAAAGGGGACACCCTTGGGACAAGGTGTCCCTTTAACAGAGGTTATAATAGATACAAAAATTATATGAGCATTAATTTTGCCCGCCGGGACAAACGTTTGTGTTCCCTTAAGGATGTGTCCTCTTAATGGAGGTGTCCCAAAGTAGACGTTCCACTGTAGTTCCTTTACATTGAAAGAGTATCATTAGGCCGTCAGATAAAAAAAAAATAAGAATAGCAAATAAAAGGTTTATTAACAGATCGAGTAACAGAGTGACTCTTCACCTGTTAACTAGCTTTGATTGTGATTTGATTTCTCTGTAAGGTCGCCTGATTCTCAAATAATTGGCGAAAATATTTCAATTAATAAAAACTGGCAGATGGCATGGAACAACAAAAATCGTCTGTTTTCGCAACTAATGAATTTGTCATCATTTTAATTCCTCCGTTCTTTATCATGATCACTCGCGGCGTTGTCGGTAAGAAACCAGAACAGGTGACCCACTCGCGCGCAGGTTGAGGGATTACTCTAAAACCAAATGAAATAGATCAAAACAGCTGACAGCCAGATTAAACTTTTTAAAAGCCCATTGTTTCTTTAAAACATTCAAAAGTACGCCGCTTGCAGAGCAGCTGTATAGTCAACTGGTTTTACCGACACAAGGGAAGCCGTGCGTTTTGTATTCATAGCTGCTGGTGTGTAGCAAATTGAATTAAACCTATCCCTTTAATACTTCCGCCATTCTTTGTTCGACATTTGTGATTGAAAATTTTCAGTTGACCCTTTCACTCCCAAGAGTGCTAAGTTCAAAGCTAAGAGAAAAAATCTTGAATTTCATTTTGCAAAATTGTCAAAAACAATTATCATGTCCTGAAGAGAACCCTGAGAGGTTGAAAGTTCTTGACAGCCAGCGAACTTTTTAATGCTCCAAACTGTTGTAAAATATATAAATCTAGAAGAAAACAAAAACAAACAGCACCATTTGAAAGTACCGCTCGATAGCTTTCATTTGAATGGTCACACACTAGGGTTAATTTCATCCACAGATGCAAAAGGTACAACCACATTTATTGACTCAAAATTTGACACTGGGAGTGAAAGGATTAATCAAATGCAAATCATAAGTAAAGTGCAGTTGAACCTCTTTCTACAAAGGCCACTCTGGGTAAAATTATCTGGCCGTTGTAGAGAGGTTTCAATAGCAAAAGCTAGTGTATGGAGCGGCGCACGGTCGCGAAACGAAAACCCCTGGCCGATGTAGAGAGGTGGCCCGAGTTAATAGAGGCTCGACTGTAACTTTGAACGAAAGTAAGTTAAGTTCGCTAAGTAGCAAACCGATTCTTTTTAATACAATTAGTTTTCGGTTTCATTTGAAAGGACGCATTGTATAGATGAGGCAAATCCATTTTACGGACGGGTGAAAAAGAATCAATTAAATGAACATGATCTCGAGCAGTTTTTTCAAAGGTTTTCTGGTATTTTCTTCGTTCCAGACATGAATTAAGGTGTTCTCTTGTTTATGAACCGCTTGAATTTTACTTTTGCTTCCAGTTGTTCCCAGACAATTGATAAACTGTGTTGCGCCTTCGCCGCACGTGTATATGGGTAAACAGAACGCTTGTTTCGACTTAATTGCACCATTGTGCTATTCAAGCAAAAAGGTGAATCTTTTGTCTCGTATTTTTTAGACGCTTCCGTTACTTTTGTCATCTCAAACAATACCTGCTCTCGTGGCTTCTTGTTACAGTGTCTCGTTTTATTTTAACGTTCATAATTTACAAGTTGTCAGACAAGACATGTGCGACAGTTTTGAAAGAACCAACGTGTGAATTTTATCTTATTTGAGGCAAAAGTGGCGCTTTGTACATATTGTTTTGGAATTAAAATTCACCTGTAAAAGCTGTAGATGGCCACATAGACGTAGCTTAGGTGGGGATAAGGCGAAAAAAGGACCGGTCTTTCTTTCTCTTTCGCCCCACTAGAGAGCCTGTTCACAGGCTTCACAGACGTCTCTTCAAACAAATTGTGAGTCAGGATGTGTCGCAGTGTCTACAGGTGCGCAACGCGCGAGGCTGTCGCGCGCGAGGCTGTCGCGCGCGAGGCCGTCGCGCTGTAGACGTTTCGAGCTTTTCACGCTGTGTCGCTCTGTGGTCGTTCACGGCTACGCATTTTGAGCCTGTGCATTGCGGTATTGCTTCTCGTCTCTCGCGCAATCTTAACATAGCAAAGAGCTACTGTTTTGAAGCCCAAGTGTCCAATGACAGATTGAAAGGCTTGATGTAGATCGAGGGTTCTTTCTAAGAAAAAAGAAATCGGGTCAATGGAACCTTGAGTCGGTTTGGACGTTAACTGACTAGGGGCGTAAGACGGAGCAAGAGAGAGGGGAGGGGAACGGTCCTCCTATTAACTGGCAAAGTCTGAAAACTTACTGAACGAACAATAGTTAGTTTTTATTGGCATTTTCTCCATGTTGACCACCAGTCGAGGTGTATAGCAATTTTTTGTGTTGAAAACAAGTGAAAAAATCACGAGCTGTAATTCATCAGTCAATTCCAGCAATGCCCGTAAAAAAGAAAAGAAAATGGGCAAATGCCCTGAGTGGACAATCGAGCTGTTCAAGTATCCCACGGTACAGTTAAAAAAAAAGTAAATTCATCGCCAACACGCTAACCCATTAGACCACCGTGCCACCAGGGCCGGGTTGTTCAAAGGGTGGATAACGCTATCCACCGGATAAATCACTATCCAGTGGATAAGTGTTAACAAAACAAACTACGCTATCCACTGGATAGCGACTTATCCGGTGGATAGCGTTATCCACCCTTTGAACAACTGGGCCCTGCTGAAGAATAGAATTGAAGAGGGTAAAATGCCTTACAAGCCTCACCAAGTTTTAGCCGGTTTGTCGACAAAAACCCTGAATCGGTTACAGAGAAAAAGACTATAAATACCTTCAAAATGATCTTACGGAGAAAATACCTCAAACCAGTCCTACTTCTGCACCTGAGAGAAAAGATGTACACAGACACAGTAACGACCTCAAGCAATTTAAGGCCTGGGTCAGGAGTTTAAAGGGAATTTATATGATCCTCAGCAATATCTCTGGTTAGATTTGTTCTACCAAGATGAAATATTTTTCCTGATTATAAAAACTCTGTATTCTTTTCTGACTTAACATACAATTTCGAATTTTTATGATCAGGTGACATGTCACAAGGACGTTAAGACCTAACTGTGTGCTAAATTTGGTTTCATTGCCATTCTTGACACCGTAAATATAACACTGATATAAACATGCTACTTTTCCCAGTAAAAGTCTTTGACCCCAGGCCTTAAGTTGCTTGAGGTAAATCTAGAACACTGTTCTAGATTTACCGTTACTGTGTCTGTGTATATTGTTCATGGTTTCAGTAAAAGGAGATTCCACCTTAAAAACCTTCTCGACGCGAATCTTGGAGCAAACGTATTGTTTTCTTGGCCAGTCAGGTGCGTGCGTAACTTTTCCCGCGCTTACCACTGATCAGGTTTTAGATGAACGAGTTCTGATTGGTTAATTGGCTATCGGAGCGCTTTGTGATTGGCTGGGTGCAAGATAGTATGCTCTCTACCTAGATGTGATCACTTTGGTTTTGGTTTTATAACGCAAAAGTGTCGAAAGTAATCCGTAATTGCTTTGGTTTTGCTTTACTACGCTCTATGATTGGTTTAAAACAATGTTGCTCTCGCCACCTACTCAACCAATCAGATGTAAAACCAAAACCAATTCGTAACTTAGTGGTTTTGGTTTTACGAAACTCATTTGAAAACCGCTCTACTGTGGTTTTCAATTGAGTGTTCGTAAAACCAAAATTAAAGCAATTACAATGGTCAATCACAGCAAACGTAAACAACGCAATGAACCAATGAGAACTCAAAGCACATACACGTAACCGGCGCCAAGCGCGGGAAAACGCGTGCGACCAAGTCGCGATTGGTTTTGGTTTTGCATCTGATTGGTTGAGTTGGTGGCGCGAGTGTTTTAAAACCAATCACAGAGCGTAGTAAAGCAAAACCAAAGCAATTCAGTGATTACTTTCGACACTCAATTGAAAACCGCTCTATGATCTAGCTATAAATCCGCCAAACTAAATTGTTATTCGTGAAAAAAAAAAAAAGACAAACAAGATTACAAAAACGTTTGAGAGACAAGTGAATATACGGTATTCTGGATTGGTTGTGATCGGTTGGTGATTTGTTAATTATTATAAGATGTAAGGGTATGTAAAGTCTTCTCGGGCCTAGTGGCACATAACTGCCGGAGCTTATCCCGGTTTCTGCCAGGCACGAAGCGACTAGGAGTATTGCTACTCCCCCTGGATGGGATGCTAGTCCATCGCAGGTTACCCTCCAGAATTTTATCGCCGGTACCCATTTATACTCCTGGGTGGAGAGAGGCACTGTGAGAGTAAAGTGTCTTGCCCAAGAACACAACACAGTGACCCCGGCCAGGGCTCAAACCCGGACCGCTCGGTTCGGCGAGTCCAGCGCGCTAACCATTAGGCCACCGCGTCTCCCACGATGTAGGATAAGATGTCCCAAGATGTAGGATATGTTAACTCCACCGTTGCCTGGTCCCAAGCCCAGGATGAGAAAGGAGGAGGGTTATGCACAGGGCTAGCGACCCTGTCAAGTAAAACATTTGAGTGCTGCAGAAATCGATATGGCCTTATAGGTGCACTTGGCGCGGAGAAGAATAAAGAAAAGATGTAGGATATATTAACAATCCGTCCGGCCAAGTTTTATTGACTGGTTTATTTTGATAGACAAAAATGAGCTGAATGGCGGGCACTCTCGACCAACACTCTGAAGTGTGGCAGGGTTACTAATTATCCGTGGTTTTATTTCCTTTCGTGACTGAAATGAAATGAATGGAATGATCCTCGCAATGCGTATGCAATTTAAGCAATTGCTTTTTGAGCCTGAGAAAGAAAATTTCAAGGCTACAACGGCATTAGAACCCATGACCTCTCCGTGATACTGGTGGGATGCTCTACCAACTGAGCTACTAAGCATTGATACGTTTGGAGAAGCTGTCTTGGGGTTTTTTGGGGTGAGGAAGAGGAAGAATATATGAAGACACCCAGATCCTCTGTTTCTTTTGGTCACGTGGTTGGCGAAACGGAGGCTCCGGTCTCAGCCGTTACCGGATGTCCGAAAATTCCGGACATCCATTCATTAATTCGTGTTGCGCATTCATTTTTATCAGCCAATGAAAAAATTCGATTTTTTCCTTGCGACCAGGACTACTCGTTTCCGGCGCAAAGAAAAAAACGAGGAGCTCTGGGAACGAGGATGTTCCTCCCCAAGAAGAAAGTGTCTTCGGGGGAGGAGCGCAGGCTCATTTTCCCGAACAGCGGCTGGTAATCGAGCCAAGCTAGTCACGCGTGGAACAAGTCGACTCAGTGTCTTTTGCGTTTAAAAATTAAAGACGTGTGCCTATATCACGAGGCGTGCATTAAATTGTTCATTGTGGCTGATGGTACGTTTACAATATTTCAAGTTTTGCTTTGTCCCTATGTTTTCTGCTCGTGGGAGCAAACCCTGACAGAAAAGGTAACCCTTTTCATATATCTGGCCATAGATATAAAATGGCACCCCTTTCACATATCACACTGCACCAATTTTCTATACCCTTGGAATGAACTTAGTGAAGATATATCAGCCGTTAGGTACGTCTGTTCGTAAATGACAGTTTTCCCTACCCTTTTCTATACTTTAACTCGTGAAATCCCTACCCTTTTATATACCTCCAGCCTGAAAAAGGGGCCTCTTTCGGGCGGAGTCCATTATAGGGAGTACCCCTCCCCCCGGGGGGTTGCTACCACGAATCTTAGAGTGAACAGTTCAAACAGACACGTCTCTTCAGCTAGCTGATTATGAGGCACGTTTAGCGGATTATATCCGTTTCGAGGGCGTGGCCTATTCTTTTTATATATATTGTGAAACATTGATCACATCGCAATGATCATCCAAGGAAAGTTTAAAAAAATTTCCAAGAGAGAGAGACTGGGATCGTGGTTGGCTAAAAATTGCCTTTTACCCATATCTTTGACTTAGGGTCAGAGGTGACAAAGGCCGGCTTTGCCAACCTTTGACTGCAGATTAAAGGTGGCAAAGGCCGTCTTTGAATTTGGTCAAAGATAGTACGCCTTTGACCTTAGTCAAAGGTGGAATAAAGGTGCTGCCAAATTTGACTTTGACTGGGTGAAAGGTACTTTTGATTGCGGTCCGGCAAACCTGTTAAAATGCGCGTCAAAGCTTGTCAAAGGCGATATCAAACTGGTGGTGTTTACCTAAATTGACGCCTGTGTCAAAGATAGTCTTCCATCTTTGTCTCACCTTTGACGCGAATCAAAGATGAGACAAAGCCAACTTTTCTTGCAGATACAGGTCACAATAGCGCCAAAAGTGATCAGAATCAAATTTCTCTTCGCAGTATCAATGCATAATCATAAGAAATGGCCATAAGAATTAAGGAAGTGATCACCAAAGAGCAATTGTAATCGATATTTGAACAAATCAGTCTCCCATTGCAACAACCTCGTTCCCAGGGTCTCTCGTCTCCCCACCCCAGAGGGCCCTCTGGGGTGGGGAGATGAGAGACCCTGGCAGGTTGCGATTGCGACTGGTACTATAACAAATTTATAGAGGCCAGTAAGGAGAATTTGTATGTTGACTATGGGATTATAAGGGTAATGAGATTATAAACTTTTTACTTCTCTTAGTAATTCACTACTACATTATCAAAATTCTGTACATGGCACCTCCCTTAAAAGCTAATTCATGTACACAAGAGCAAGTTTTTCTTGACATGTTTTCATATGACAAGCGTGTTTTTTTGTAGTGTGTACGACAAAATATGACAAGTTTTTACTTACCGCTCGATATAAGGAAAAACTTGTCAAGGAATTACGAAAGCTCTGACGTTTAGGGATATTCCACTCTATAAAGAGTATTGTGGCTTCTAAGCAACCGGAAGCAACGAATACTTGCTGTTTGTTCCCATAATCAAATAAAATTGCCCAGGACACTTGTCAAGTCAAACTTGCTGGTGTGTGATTAGCTTTAGAGGGCACCTGTCATAAGCGGACGCGGGAACCTTTCTTGAAGATTGACAAAAAAAATAAACCTCGCGAAAGCGAACACTTATTGCGTCGAGTCAAAGCATTTTGGTGTAGTACAGTTTATCTTGAAACTGAATCATTTACTGGAATCAGGAGCATATCACCCGGAGCCTCTATCTGGTAGTTACACCTTCGGCTATTTTTTAGAATCGTTCTCCCGCGAAAAGATTTCCGTGTACGTCCGCGGACAATAGTGTTAATTCGTAGTAATGACATTCCGCCGTTCTAGTTCTTATTCCACGTTCCTCTCGTCCATTCCTGGTTTTATTTTTAATCTGAAACATGAATGACAACCTCTTCCTCGTGCTCGCAACGGGTAATTTTCGCGGCAAAAGTAATTCTAAAAATAGCTCAAGGTGTAACTACGCCGTGTCATAGGTCCAATAAGGGAGATGGAGGCTCCAGGGTGATATGCTCCTGCTGGTATAGAGACATCGTTTTCTGACAAAAGAACAGTTCCGATTCCAAGGGTGTCCAATTACTAGAGGTTTTCCTGCATTTCCATGACAAACAAAAAGGCACAAAATGATATCATTGAATAGTATCTTTTATTGATATATTATATATATATAACGCTATGTACATTTTTAGCTAAGTGAAAGGAGACTACAGCAACTCGAACACAACAGAAACTCAAGTTGTTGCGTCGTCTTCGCTTCACTTTCTTTGTTGTATTTTCCCTGACTCATCCCCAGTCGTCTCTCTTGTCTCCTATTAATATTTTACAGCCCAAGGGAGCGCAAGGGGTGGTGGGAAGCTTTCTTCCTTCCCAGCATCCCCCGCGTCTTGCGACTTCAAACAAAGGAGACAAGAGAGACGACTGGGACGAGTCAGGTATGTTCCCCTTAAACTAAACCTTGTTTACAACACAATGCAGCAATAGGAGGCTTTTGTCAGGGCGTACTTTAACTGTATGTAACAGAAGTTTGTCAAAAAACACTATAAATAAATATACGAATAAACTGAATAAAATCTCGAATCGACCAGCGACAGCTATTTTACACGCAAATATATTTTTTTCTTTGGTTTACGCAAATATTTTTATTCGCCCATCAAAAATCTTCATTGCCTTAATACGGCGCTTTGACTTTGTCTATCTATTAGGAATTTACTTTCCATGTCGTTTTATATGAAGTACGCATTAACCATTATCCTGAACTCGAGAGAACAACGTTTACCATAAAAACCGATCGCCAAGTGACGCGCCCTCTTTCGGAAAACTGTCGAGACTTTTTCTGATCTCTGATTGGTCAGTATTTGTCGGAAAGCTTGTCGGTTCCGGTCGTCAACTGACGTGTCTTCTTCTGATTGGACAAATCGTTCGGATTATTGCTCTCTCGCTACTTACTACGTTTAACGATGCTTTCTTCAAAATAGCGCCGATGTTTGTTTTAAATTCTTCTTGTAATCCCTTCCTTGCTAAAACACAACCGACATACAGCAATATGATATACAAAAAGAATTCACACCGGCGAAGAATTGTCATCTTAGTTCATACATATACGTACTTTTGTTCAGTCTTGTCGGCGCAATTTTTATGCAAGTGAAACTAAACCTAACGTATTTAATAACATAATGAAATAGTGATTATGAAATGAAGATATTTGTTATGAACTCTCATTTACCTGTATTACTACAGGGCCCGGTTGTTCCTGAAAGCACGATTAAGCTAATCCAAGATTAGCGTGAATATTGATTTCAGTTTTATAACTTTTAACTGAGGTTTTCTGGTTATATTTTTTGTCCTTCAGTTTTGACTTTGAGTAATCTCAAATTCTACAAAATATTAGCAATGAAAAACACTTTTACACAAGAGAAATTCAAAGCTCGATCGACTCTTAATCCTGGATTAGCTTTAATTGGCTTTTGAACAACCGGGCCCAGATCTCTAACACGTTCGTTTTGTAAAATTACTATTTCGAACACGATTAGATTTCGCCACTATATTTTGTTCTGATTGGCAACGCGATTTTAAGCAGCTTTCTTGGAAACCTAATTCAAACAACCCCGATATTTATATAAAACGTTACTTTATTTTAAGCCGTAATTTATGTTGTCTTTAAATTTATCTCACTACTAAAATGTAATAATTACTCCCTTACGGCATCAACGACGGTGGATAAACCCACCGAATAGCTAGCTATGCCCCACTAAACAAGAAATCTGATGCGTATAGTAATAAGCTTTATACTTTACGTGAGAAGTAAATTCCGCTCAAACTTACTACGTCACAGCACGTGACCCAACACGTTTGGCATATGCGTCATCTCCATGGCAACCGCCTCAGTTGATTTTGTTACATATATAAGAAGTATAAGTGGTAGTAATTTGTGATTTAAATCTGTCTTTTTGTCACGCACTCCGGCGATATTGCGTGACTTTATTAG